CACACATTTTTTATGCAAAATGCATATCAAATTTTACTAATCATAGCTTCTTCCATTGTGATTTTTTAAATGGCTACTTTAACTACTGAGTTTAATTTCCCCAAGTCAAATTTGTAGATAGAAGTGTTATAACGTAAACTTGAATCTTGGGTTGGTTTTGTCAAGCCCTGTGCTATTTTGCCATGTGTTTATAAGGATATGTGTACAATCTGAAAACACTAAATAGATACACTTTTCACTGATCTTATATCATAATGCCCTGGGACTCCTGATTTATTGAGTCCAGTGGAGGGGTTGGGGTTGGTTGACATCGGAGGGAGGGTCCTTATGAGTAGAGGCAAATGGCAGTGGCACAGAGCTCAGAAGTGGGTGCCAGCAGATACTGGCTCAGGAGTCCAGGGACAAGGCCACACTTCCCTGCTCTTCCCTCCTCACAGCAGAGACCAGAGGGGACCCAGAGAATCTGAAGCCTGAGCTTCCCATGCACATGAATAAGCACAAGCTTCCTCTCACACAGTGTGAAAAGCACAGTCTCCAGACTAGCAACAGCAGCAGCTGAGAATGTGTTAGAAATGCATTCTTGGGCCCTACCCCGTATCTACGGATTCAGAAACTCTGGAGCTGGGACCCAGCCTTCTGGGTTTGAACAAGCTCTCCAGCTGACTCCCGTGCTTGACAACCACAGCTTTATCCCCAGCTGTCCTCGTGGCTATGAAAATGGGTAAGAGGAAGATATCCAGAAAGATCAAACATTTATCTAAAACAAAGCTTAAAAATATCCTTCAAGCAGGATCAAGTCTCCCATGAATTCCTCTCTTGGGTTCTCAATATAACCAGAAAATGAATAAGAAATTTTGGTTCACTTGCAAAGAAATAGAGAAATCTACAGTTTTGCCTACCTGAATTGTAGCAGATAAATCTTTACCTCCCCATTATAATTTCCCAGTGATAGTCATTACGAATTAGTCCAAATTTGTATTAATTTCTTGGCATCGTCAACAACACTTTTAGCAAAAATGGCCCAGGGTTGGTCTATTTCACTACCGAGTCTATTTTTGGTAGGATTTTGATCAATCTGTAATGAGTACTATCTACAGAAGCTAAGAGCAAATGACTAGGCCAAAAGGTCCTTAAGTTCATGGCAGGATAAAAATATTCTGCTTTGGGAAAGGGATATGGTCAGTCTTTACCCTGTGGCAATTTAAGGGCCTTTCATAGTGCCTTGTCCTTTGTAGATGCTCAATATGGAGTTGGTAAGTGAATGAATGGAGAATCCATATGGGTTCTACAGCTTGAGAATGCCTTATGGAAGAGGTGACACGAGTTGGGTAGAAAAGGGTGGGTAGAGAAAGAGTGAGGGCATTTTAGGCGGGAGGAGACAAGGATACATGGTGGGCTGAGCAAAAGCGTGGAGTGGGGTCTAAATGAGAAGTGACTGGGACTGAGTGGATGGCATTGGAGAAGAAATGCTATTCACAGGGGGATCATGATGACAGCCATTGTCATTACATAATGTAAATGGGGTAGTAGTTAAATGAGTACTCATCCTCTGATACATTCCCTACCGCGCTAGGTGCAGGGCACAGGGTGGAGAACAAGATAGATGTGGCACCTGAATCTAGTAAAAAAATGAAAACAGGCAACGACGGGAGTATGATAAGTGTGTTGATGAGTGAAATACAGGGGAAGGTTGGTAGCTCCCCTAACCTGGGCTGGGATCCAGTGGATCCAGAAGTCTTCCCAGATGAAAAGATGTCTAAGTTACGACCCGAAAGATGTGTAGGAGGGAAGAAGAGGTGTGCAGTAGGATGGGGCTGGATGGGCAAACCGAGGGCCAGATTCGGAAAGGCCTTCTAAGCCATGTTAGAGTCTGAGCTCTACACAGAGAGATGTGAGGAGGTTTTAAACAGGGCAGAGGACAAATCTGTTTTGGAAACCTCACCCTGGCTTCAGTAGAGAGAAGAGCTGAAAGACAGACGATTGATCGATGATGGTGACTTTAATTAGGGAAGTAACAATGAATGGGAAAGGACAAGTTTAAAGAGCTTTTGCTGGAAAAAATGATCTGTGGTGGCTTAAAACATGTCCATAAATTCTTTGACATCACCACCACTGAGAGGTGGAATGTATGCTCCCTCCCTTGAATCTGGATGGGCCTGTGACTTGAGTGGAAGTGATGCTATGCAACTTCTGAGACTAGGTCATCAAAGGTGACAAAGCTTCTGCCTGTCTGGGGACACTCACTCCCTAGTACCAGGTACTGTGCTGTCAGGGAGCCACGTGTGGATGTGGAGGCCCCAGTCTCAGCTGAGGCCCTAGAATCCAGTGCCAGAAGCATTAAGTGAAGAAGTCGTTGAGGTGACTGCCTGGCTGAGCCCAGTCTAATGAAATGATTGGTCTTGTTTTAAGCCACTAACTTCTGGCGTTTTTTTTTTTTTGGGGTACGCGGGCCTCTCACCGTTGTGGCCTCTCCCGTTGCGGAGCACAGGCTCCGGACGCACAGGCTCAGCGGCCACGGCTCACGGGCCCAGCCGCCCCGCGGCATGCGGGACCCTCCCAGACCGGGGCACGAACCCGTGTCCCCTGCATCGGCAGGCGGACTCTCAACCACTGCGCCACCAGGGAAGCCCCTAGCGTATTTTTGACACAGCAATAGATGACCAGACCACTACCCTTATATCACCCAATTAAGGAGATATCTTTTCGTCTCTTTTTCATACTGTGCTGTACTCACCATAAATTTTTGGCTTCTGTAGCAACAGACATTTACACTAAGTGAAAACAATCTACAAAGCCACATAGAGTTGGGGAGTAAGATGTTCTGTCCGTCAAATATTCTCATTAACAGAGTAAGTACACGCTTTAGGCAAATTACCGTAGAGTACATAGATGCTTTAGGCAAATTATTGATTGCAGAGAAACACCATTTTTCAAAGAAACTGCCAAGTTTTAAAGAATGAAATGGTCACTATATACTGAGCATACTTTTTCATTGATGGTTTTTTTCTTTGCCTTTAGAATCGTCTATTATTTTGAGGTGAACGTTATGCACATTCATTACCTCATTACTAAGTTGCCCCTCAGTAAGACTTCTGGGAACAGGTCAGAGCCTGGTTTTGCAGTCTGCAGAGAACCACAGCCGGCAGCTGCTCAGAGCAGCAGGGCTTGGGAAGGTCATGGCTGCTATTTATTGCTCACGATCTTTTTTTTTTTGCTAATGAATAGTTGTTAGCTAACAACCAAGGCCACATTCACCCAGGGCATAATAGCCGTTTGAATGCTCTCTGTGAATGCTGGAGAAGATAAAAGATAAGTTGAGGGACAGGAAGCATGCCCTATTATTCCCTAAGACTTTGAAGGCAGAGAAATTTAAATCCTTTTTTTTTTTCTTTTGCAAAACACTAGACACACATAAGATGTAATTAAGATTCTATGAGGCAGAGTATTTTCTTTAAATGAAGCTTATGCTTCACAGAGCATAGGCTAAAGAAATTCTTTTGATATTTCTGAAGAGGAGGAAGAACTCATTTGTTTATGTAATTCTTCAACTAGGTGCAAACAGTCTGAATGCTACTGACAGTAGTAACAAGAGTTAATGTTTATATAGCATTTTCTTTGTGCCAGGTAGTGTTCAGCTTGCTTTGCATTTATTACCTCATTCTGTCCACAGTAAGTCCGCGAGGTGGTATTACTATTATCCCTGTTTAACAGATGAGGAGATTGAGGGGAGCCCATGGCCACACAATAAGTCAAGGAGCTCTTAGTGCTCTATCTCTGAAGAGATTCTCCTGTTTCTTCTCTGAGGCGACATCATGTGGTGCAGTGGGAAGGGAATGAGACTAGGAATCTGGATTTTAATCTCAGCTCCACCAATTTGGACAGGACATTTTCCTTGACCTGAGGAGGAGACTTAGAAGAGTCCTCCTACTCTAGAACTTCTGGCTCTATGAATAACAGTAACGTTAGAGTTATCTCCGGGTTTTGAAACAGCACTGAATAAGGAGTCTGCAGCACTCCAGGCGGACAGCTGGGAGGCTTCACCATCATGTGGGCCCTCAGAAAGAAAAGGCACAACCAGCCCCCCAGGTGCTGGCCTTCAAACCACCAAGAGGCAGCTCCTTACGAGGAAGCTGTGACCCGCTGTGATGACATATTTATTTATAAAAGATAAAACATCCAAAGAGAGAAAAGAGAAAATCATTAACAGATGAGATGAACTATAGGACCAAATGTTTATGACCTATATAGAAAACTAAGGAATACAGAGAGTGTTATGTGGTTTTTACTGGCATTTATTTTGAAAAGCACGTGGATTGCCCATGACCAAAGTGGTAACCATTTAAATTTTGGCTTATTATCAGTTCTGAGAGTTAAATTCTGGTTTTGTTTGTTCTGCTGAGAAAACAACAAGTTTTCTCAGGAACCTTTTAATTTCTCTTATTTTTGAGAAAACTTGACCCCGCTGAACATTGAGTGAAAATTTCAAATCAATATGGAGATTCACATAGGCGCTATTATTTTACAGATGAAAAACTGAGGGCTCAAGTATCTTGTCTAGGGTCACAGGTAAATGATGACAGAAGCAGTGAGAAAATCCTGGGCTATTTCCCAGCATGGTAGAGTAGGGTTTCAGACCACTATCCCCCTGAAAATTAGCTGGAGGTGGCCACTTATAGTGAAATTCCTTCCTGTTGGTGCTTATTGGGTTCCCCTGGAGACCGTGACCATGTTCTTTCAAGCATCCTCAGCCCTTTACAAGAGGAAGCCTCCTTCCCGCGGGAGCCTGAGCTTTCTGCTTGCCTGTATCTAGATCTTCCTGGTGGCACAACAAATGAACGTCTCAAGGCAGCACGCCAGCGCTCGATGATCTTGGAAATTTAAGGAGACCAAGTGTTAGTGTACTGTACACTGGAGTATGATGCCCGATTTCTTAGGAAGCCAATAATTCACTAGAAGCAGGCCCCCTCCAACTCAGACCCACAGATGGTTTGAACTCAGGGTTACTCAGCCCACAGGGACTGGCTGAGCGGCTGGAAGGTCCGACGGCTGACTGTCCTCTTGTTTAATAGCACCGTGTGGGATTTCCTGTCACTGGGGGTGTGGCAGAGCAGAGCATCTAAAGTGTAAGTGGTGACCTGGCCATTTATGTGCAGTTTCCCATACAGCTCATCAAATGCGGCCAGAAGAGCGGGCACATCCTTCACTTTTTCCCTCACTTTGACCAGCTGAAAAAAAAGCAAGAAGAGTAGATTGTTATGTCTCTGCAAGATTTCTTCCTTGTTCTTTTTATCCTCCAAGAAGCAGAGATATAAATGCAAAAAAAAAAAAAAAAGACTGTGTACCTAAAGTGGTAAAAACCAGGGTACTGGGGCACACAGAGGTATAACTAACTATAAGGGATTCCATAAGCTATAAACAACATTCAGGATTAGTACTTAAAAATCACCCCTGGTATTTTATAAAAGGGGGGTTCAAGTGGCACATACTATACGATGAAACATACCAGGGAAAGGAGGTCAAACAGCATGGAATCAAGTGTGTACAATTTAACGATCAGAGCAGGAGGCAGGGACAAATGACGTAGGGCTTTCTAGCTCATGGTAAGTTTTTTGGAATTTATTCTAAAAGCCATCAGAAGGTCCAAACTGGGACATGATCTGATTTAGATTTAAAAAGCTGTGTGGAGAACTGGAGGGTACAAGAATATGGAGACTAATCTAGGGGCCCCCATCATAGGCCAGATGAGAACAGGTGATGGTTTAGACTGGGAAAGGTCCTGAAAAGATGGAGAAGTAGATATATATGAAGTATATTTTGGAGATTAAACTGAAAGGATTATTGTTGAAGGGGAGAGGAAAAGGGAGGCATCAAAGACATCTTCGCAATTTGGGCTTTAGTAACCTGGAGCTGGGGGATGTCATTAACTGAGATGGGGAAGATGGCAGGATGAGATTTGGAGAGGGAAAATCAAGAGTTCTGTTTTGGACAAGATTGAGATGTCTGTGAAACATCTAGGCAGACATGTCCAGAGGTTACTGGCTACACAATTATGAGGCATGGGGGCGAGGTCTAGATCAGAGGTATAAATATTAGCATCACAAGTATATGAATGGTATTTAATTCTACAAAAATGAGTGAGCTCAAAATTAGAATGTGAATGTGAGTCTATCACATATACACAGGTTGTGTAATATAACACAAACCTGCATACCTTCTTTTCAAACGAGGGCTCCCCACTGAAGCTTCAGGTAAAGTTTAAACACTTCTAACATTCTTAAAGAGAATAGCTTGTTTAGTCCTCATGTTCAGGGTGAGATGCAGCAGCATATGGCTTTCAAAAGAAGCGAAGCAGGTGAGCCAAGCTGGAGGTAACCTTGCTCTCACTGCAGATACGACCTCAGTTCTGGAGGTAACCTTGCTCTCACTGCAGATACGACCTCAGTTCTTTTTTCTCTTTTTTTCTTTTTTTAACTACCTCTTTTTTCTTAAATCACTACAAAAATAAATATTAAATGGTATCACTAGGACAATCCTACAATTGAAGCAGAAAACAGCTGGTACGACACTGTTTGTTAATTAAGTTTTAAAAAAGAAGTCAATAAGGAAACAGTTCACGTTGAAGTGGTTTCCGTCACGGTGCTGCAGAAAGTCCGCAGTTCTTTTCACCATTCCTCTAGTGGCACAACAGCACCTTCTCACCACACATAAAACATGTCTAGTAACTGGTGGCATAAACACTAAATAGAGCATTTGTAAAATGCAGAGTTTTACAACATAAGACTCCACATGCAATCTCACAAAGATATTTAGAACTAGCTCAAAAGCTGCTGGAGTTTTAGGGATCAATTCACTTCTCAACAAGCAGTTCCCTGAGTAGCCTCACAGCAACCAGGGGATACACTGAACTAGAGGGTGAGCTTTCTAAGTAAATCAGCCTTATAGGCTTTGGTGGGGGGAGAATCAGATAAAAACAATGAGTATTTTTCAGTGTGAAGTTTGGATGCTTTAGCCGTATAATTCAGGCAACATATTGATGGGCCAGGTCTAAGGAAGGATTAACATCAGTGCTAGTGAGAAAGCAGAAGTGTGTCAGTGCTGCACACACATGCACATGATCGTGTGCTTTCAAACCAGTTTACGTTTCTAGTTCCCCTACTTTTCTGAACACACTCCCAAAAGGTTTAGGTCGGTCACAACCTACACAGAGCTAAGACCTCAAATAGAAAGCAGCTTTAAATTTAATCGTAACCAGTTAGTTTCCCGACAAGCTCCCTTTACACAGCCTTCAGGTAGGAGTGAGGAATGGGACAGGGCTGGGAAGGCCACAGTGTGGCAGAGGCGGGGAGCTGCCACCTGCCCTCTGCTGCCAACCTGCCATCTCAGGTGCTAGCCGGAACCCAGCTGGGACCGTGCTACCTAAGGCCAGGGAAAAGGGAGAAAAGCTGGGGGAGGACCAACAACCAGGCCCCTTGGTTAGTCAAAATGACTATACCAGTATCATTACTAACAGTATGATCACTGCCAATAATTTATGATTTCCTCACAGTCTTTTTTCCCTGTAGGTTATATATGACTGGCGATGTACAGATTACTAAATTTCGAATGACTTACAATAATTCCTCTTTATGTGCTTAAGCCATCAGTATGACACAAGGTTCACCTGTTTCATTTTGCTTTCAATTTTTAGAAATTGCTTCTTTCTCTTCATTTTTATTTAATTTTATTTTATAATTTTGCAAAGCATTTATATGGTTCCATTAGTCGGTCTATTCAGGAGCTAAAGACACAGTTCTAATTAGAAAAGCTTTAATGTGGTTTCATATCCGGCAGGTCTAGCACCTCTTCTTTCACAGAGTTTTCCCAGCTATTCTTGCTAGTTTGCTCTTTCTACTGCACCTTAACTACAGAAAAAAACCTAATGGTATTTTTATTGAAATGTTACATTATCACATTAACTTGGGCAGAACTGACTTTATGAGGTTGAGTCTTCCTATCTAAACACCCAGTAGGTCTATCTTTTTAACATCTTTATTGGAGTATAATTGCTTTACAATGGTGTGTTAGTTTCTGCGTTATACCAAAGTGAATCGGCTACACATATACATATATCCCCATATCTCCTCCCTCTTGCGCCTCCCTCCCACCCTCCCTATCCCACCCCTCTAGGCCAGTATGTCTTTTTACTTGTTTAGGTAGGGGAGATTTTCTTTTTGTTAAGATGAGAGATACTATAGCCCACTGTTTGCCTATGGGGATGATCCATAGGTAAGGCGAGCAATAGTGATGATGTTCAAAAGAAGGTGACACAACTTCTGGGCTGATGCCCTGGGCTGGCTGGGGGTGGGGATGGGCTCCCAGGCTCTAGAGAGGTGCCCACAGTCACCACGGCTTCAGGAGGGAAGGCTGAGCAGACAGAGAGAGGGGCAAGGAGGCTGTTGGTGCGGCAGCGGGTCTCCTCTAATTGCTTCTGTTTCCTCTGTGAAACAGGAAGCAAGGTCATCAACTGAGAGTGAGGAGTGGGGAGAAGGAATTGGACGCTTAAGGAGAAAGGAAGAAGGAAAAGAAGAGGGCCGACACCCATGAAGACAGTGTGGGGAAAAGAACGATGTAAAAGGAACAGGTTTTCCTAGCATTTCAGAGGATATATTGTGTTAGAGGAAAAAAGTCTGCACCCACACACAGAAATCTAGCAACAGGAACAACAGAGAGGTTGCCGGATTGGACAGTCTCTTTAAAGAGGTGGCCTACAGGATTAAGGTATCAAGTGGACAGTTTAAAGAGTGTTCTTGCACCTTTACAGGATTTCTGTGGAAACCGCCTACTCACCACTTCTTCTGAGAACACATGTTTTTTCACAAATCTTGACAGATTTCCCTCTGTAGCATCCTTTAGTATATCTATTAGGGTTTTCAACATGTTTGACTGGATATGGATCATAATCTGAATCAAAAGAAGAAACAAGAAAAACAAGATTGAGCTAGTAATCAACACTGAGAAATGTACCCCGTGAGATAAGCCTACATTTATAGGCATCTACCCTGCTTTCATGCCATTTCCTAATTCATTTGCTTGCTCAAGTTCAAAGGTGCTTTGAATGAATGCCCACCAGCCAAAACTTGTTTTCCAATAGCTAATCAAAACACCACAACTTCAAAGCTTGCTAAAAGGCAGAAATGGAGAGAACATGGATTTTGGAGTCTGACATACTTGGGTCAGAGTCTTGGCACTGGCAATTACAGCCAAGTGACTCTGGCCAGGTATTTAATCTCTTTCAATATCTTTATTTGTGAAATGAGGAAAATACCTTTGCATCTCACATTCTGAATTACCGTGAACATTAAATGAAATATCAGCACGTAGGAGGTACTCAACAAACATTACTATTAGATTCTTCTTCCCTATTTCCTCTAGATTCAGAGGATATGACAATCAGACAATCTCCTAAGACTGGCTCTGGGTCAAAAGATACCTTTATCTTTTTATTTTTTTGGTTAGGAAATTGCAGGCATACAGATTGTTCAAGTATTAAGTGGAAGCTGGTTCAAGTCTTAATGAGGCACTCCTATTTATACTATAGCTATCAAAACTGGGTGCTTGTGCTTGGCTTTCAAAATGATACCACTAACTACCTTCCATCAGATACAATTAACATAAGGAAAAAAAAGAACACATTTCCCCCGCACCCCAATTACCAATGTTCACTAGTCTAATTTGAAAAATACAGCAAAGTTTAAAGAAAATGAGAATAACTCAGAATTCACCAACTACTGTTAACCACTGTTTACAATCTCATGTATTATCTTCCAAATATATTAATCCCCCCGACCCCCCAATTTGATTCTGCTTTTTGGTCAATTATTATAAAGTGAACATTTTCTCATAGCATCAAGAAGTTTTAGGAAAAAATAAAACCTCATTTTTAATGATGAATGCATAGCAATCCATCATATAAATCAAATAAAGCAATACCATACTTAATCAATAAATGTCATACATTTTAAAAAATTGTTACTTTCTTAGACTTGATTCCCAGAAGTGAAATTACAAAATCGAAGGGTGTAAACATTTTTAAGCCTCTTGATCTTTAGGAAAGATAGCTTTTCTGGGAGAGATATTCCTTTCTTATACCAAAGCAACTAAGTTCTCTTAATAGTCCATTTTATAACATTGTATGTTTGTTGAGCAGGTGATCGGGATAAGGGGTTATCTTTGGTCCTGAAGAACAGAATGAAATGGCCCCAAGTAGCCTAACTCCAAAAGCCCCGATCTAAGTTGAGTTCTAGAGCACAGGCAAAACCCTTTGTAGGGAGAGAACATTCCGTGGGTCTCTCACAGTCAGGCAGAAGCACTGACTGTCTTTATTCCCGACTGTATTTTCAAGGATGTTTGTACAGCCAGCAGCCTGGGAAGACAGACAGTGTCTCATCCAAAGCAGAGGGCAGGTATGCTTTACTGTCCAATTTAAGAGCTTTGGGTTCCCCAAGTTCACAGCTCCTCTCTTAAAATATAATCCCCTGTGTGTGCAAGAAGCATATAGACCTCTTCATGTCGCTCTGTGGGAACTGGGCTCAAGAAACTGCTGCAAAAATGCTAATCCGCTGGCTACTGCTATTGCTGTGAGTAATAAACTGTCCTTCTCTCGGTGTCTTGTGTTCTCTACCAGCATCCACAAAACTGTGGCAGGTTAACTCGTTAGCTCAGAAGTGGGGTAAAATCTCCAAGTCTTAATAGTTCTTAACAGTTTTGTTAGTAAAAACCAATCCCAATTTGGTTGGCAGTGGTCTGTCCTATCAAGGGCAAGGAGAAGTCTACCTTGTTGATGCCACATCTGCAGTGCCTGGCACCGAGTAGACCCTCAACAATGAGAAAGGGAGTGTAGGTCCCCTAGCAATTTACAGGGATAAACCTCCTGGAGCTCATGCTAGAAACTATTAATGATGTGCTTCTGAAAGATTTCAACTTTTCTTCCTAATTTTTCCCAGTTTCTCCCCTGCCTCCAGCAACTAACCCTGATTCAGTGGGGATTTCAAGAGTAAGGTTCAATACCTTGAACTATACTGCTGAAGGGCAACATAGATGAGGCGGTTACTGATGAAAGGCAAAGAAAAAATTTAAAGCTAGGAGCTTGTCTCAAACTGAAGTCTCAGGGTACAATTAAGAAAGCTAAATCAGGGTACAGTGCATTGCTTCACTCTTACAGATTTCAAACAAAAGGCTAGGAAAATTGAATTAGCAAGGAGCAGGGCGACTTTTCCTGGAGAAAAACTCGTCAAAGAACACATACTTCCCACCCTTCTGATTTTCTGAGACCTCAAGAAATGTGTCACTGGACACCTTTGACCAAAAAAGGGAACAGACGCCCTGAACATGCAGACATCTGCATTTCTTTTCTTTTTAAGTTTGCTATATTTGAAGTAGAATAGCACAGCGTGGTAGAGACTGCTAATTTTCTAACCAATATCCACATTTCCCTTCTTTGTTTTGATGACAGAGCTCCCTAACTTTAACTGATGCTGTCATGTACGGAACTCAAAAACTGTATTTCTCAGGTCTGTCTGCAGCTGGATGTGGTCATGGGATTAAGCTTTCGCCATTAACGTGTAAGTACAAGTTGTTGGGTGAGACGTTTGGGAAAGCATTCTTAAAAGGGACCAACTTCTTTGTCCTCCTGCATTCTCCTACTTCTTGCTGGAATAGATGTAATGGATAGAAGCCACGTGCTTAGGATAGTGGTATGGAAATACAAGAGGCCAGGTCCCTGATGACATCGCGGAATGTCATACCAGACCTAGACCGACCACCTCTGGTTTTCTACTCGGAAGAAAAAGAAATCCTCTAATTTGTATAGACTCTTGTATTTTTAGAGTCTGCATTGCTTCCAGCCAAATGCAATTCTTAAAACATATAGGTGAGATGCTGCCACAAAGGGATTTATGAGAAATAATAAGTCCTGTCTCCTTTCCTACCGGTGTGGCCTAGAACTTCCCAGCATGAGCTAGAACTTTAGGGTGGCCTTAGTGAGTAGGAGAAACAAACATTAAAACATTTACCTGTGTTAACAAATAAATGATAAAAAAGCAGCGAAACTCACCACTTGTCAATTCCCCTGTAAGGTAATTCAATTCCAGAATGGGTCTAGATTTCTAGAGAAATGATTAGAATTCAGTGAGATCATGTGCCCAACCAGTTCGGTGTGGAGCGAGCATGAGCTGGGAAATGGGGAGCCAGGCCCTCTGGGTCGTATCAGCAGCAGGAGCAATTCCAATGAAAAGAAAATTAAGTTGAGGGGAAAAATTAGGTAAGTTCATATTCCAACTGGCAGCAAGAAAAGATTTTAGTGTAAGGCATTAATTTTTAAAGTAGATCTGAAAAACACTTCATTTATTTCTGCTGATACTGACTGAACAGACTCTATTCAGCCTATTTGTTAGGTTTCCATTTCTGAATAATTAACAAATTGCCCTTAAGGATTCTAAGCAGATGACTGAGCCTTGGAGAAGCTAGGGCCCGGAATTAAATTATTTTTTTAAAACCTGCTCTAATAACAGAGACCCAGAATCTGAAAGATTATTAAACCTGAGAATGGCAACCAGCTCTTTTTCACCATTCCCGAGGAAGGAAGAAGAAACAGGCTTGTATTGAAATACCAGAAATTTAGATTGGAAATTTGCAAGAATTGCCTGAGTGAAAATTTTTAAGCAATCTTTAAGTTTCTGGACAGTGGGTAATTCTGCGACCCAGTTCATGGAGGCGATGGTTCATATCCAAGATCAACTCAAGGATCCTTACAGAGCGCTTGTCAGAAACACGCCCATTCATTCGACCACGTTGATCGGCCGTCTCCCCGCCCCCCAACCCAGCTCTCCCAGGAGGAGCTGTTCCTGCTGCCACGATTGAATAGCCGAGGAATCTAAATTCAAGGACATGGAGTATGTGCACTAACAGCAGGTTCGTTTTTTGACATCCTGTGTTCCTTTCACCATTCCGGAGAAGCAGTTAGCTCCAGTCCTAGATAAAAGACGCACAACGCTAATCTCTGTAGGTCTGGAGTGGTGGGGAAACCCTAGGCTTTGTATGTAGTCAAACAGATTTGATTGTGTTAAAACTTTGACTCTGCTATTTAATTAGCTGTGAGAACCTGGGTAGTTTACTTACCCTTTGAATCTTCATTTTCCACAATGTATAACATGGAGAAATACTGTTCTGACAGTGTTGTATAAAATAAACCGACAAATGTTAAGTGTCTAGCGTGGTATCTTAGCTAAAATAAGCTGAAACCCTGCCGATCTCACTCTCTTCCATTTCTTATCAACCCTTATTGATCCCCCCATGCCCATTTCAACTCTACGAAAAGCGACTAATAACCCACATAAAACTTCTCTCACACACTCTCCTGTGTTTCTTTCCCCCCTGATGCTATGAACCACCTGGAATCCTAGCAATTCTACTGCTATCCAGTCATGAAATGAGTGCATCTGCAGGCCATTCTCTCAGAAGCAGATAAATATATTAATACTTGGAGATGCTGAGCCGTCCACATCCAGTAGGAAGCTGAGAAGAAGAAAAAATAACATATGCGTCTGCTGGAAGACCAGGATTCCTAGTCTGTTTGGCTTACTGGCTCAAATGACCTGGACTTTTGGACTCTGGACCCTTGCCACCTTGGCCTCCTTCAGCTGAGAGCTTTTCAGGCTGACCTGCAGTTTCTGTTCAGGTGCCCAGTCTTGGGCCAGGGGCTGCCTGCAGGAGGCCATGGCACGTAGGGCTATCAGCTCTCTTAGGTTTCGATCCACTGGTGCGATTCCTTCCCTGTCTTTTTCTGTTGCTTCCTCTGCCTCACCATTAATGCCGTAAAAACTCATATCTGGGACCTCTTACCTCCCTTTTCTGTGGCATTCATCAGTTTATAGCAGATCCATTACCAGGTTTTACAGATAAGTTCTTAACTGACAGCTTTGACACTCATCCCCACTCCAGGCTCCTGCCCTTTGCCAACTACAACATCTCTTTTTGGGTATTTTTCTTATATTTAGTCTCTTCCTTTCCAAACCCACCTCTTTCCC